GCCTGCTCTTAAATTACTACACCTTGGGCATCACGGCCCCCAAAAAAGCAGATCAAACCACATCATTAGCTAGCTTGCCTGGACTCAGCCACACTGATCAGCACACCACAGATAAAATTCATGCTCTGCAAATCACTTCTTTCTGATTTTTCTCACTTTTCACAGCATCACTATTAAAAATTCCAGGAAAGGTACAACTCTTCTCCATCAGCGTCACATCCACCCTGTGCTTGAACATCTCCAGGGATGGTGACTGGAACGGAAGCCTGTTCCAGTACCCAAACACTTTCTGAGAAGAAATGTTTCCTAACACCCAACCTGAGCCTCCCCTGGCACAACATGAGGCCATCATCTCGTCCTTATATCTGTAAGCTGGGAGCAGACGCTGACCCCACCTCTCCACAACCTCCTTTCAGGAGCTTAGAGAGCACTGAGCTCTCCCCTGAGCTCCCCTGCCCCACACTGACCCATCCCAGCTCCTCAGCCGCTCCCCATCACACTTGTGCTGCAGACCCCTCCCAGCTCCATGCCCATCTCTGGACACGCTGCAGGGCCTCCATGCCTGCACTGCAGTGAGGGCCCAGCACTGAGCTCAGCACTGAGCTGCGGCCCCACCAGCGCCGCACAGAGGGACGATCCCCTCCTGCTCCTGCTGGCTGCACTGCTGCTGACACCAGGCAGGATGCCGTGGGCCTTCTTGGCCACCTGGGCACACTGCTGGCTCATCTGCTGCCGGCTGGCAGCTCACACCACAGAGCTGTAGTGTACAGCAGAGGGCTGTAGTGATGCCTGAGGTTGCTGTGACCAAAGTGCAGGACGTGGCACTTGGTCTTGTTAAAGGTCATCCCACTGGTCTCAGCCCATTGATCAGCTTGTCCAGATCCCTCTGCCAGGCCTTCCCACCCTCAGGCAGATCAGTGCTTCACCCCAACGTGACGTCACCTGCACCCTTACTGAGGGTGCACTCAGTTCCCTCATCCAGATCATCAATTAATAAGTTAAACAGGGTGAACCCCAGTATTGATTCCTGATGTACACCACTTGTGACAAGTCACCAGCTGGATGTAACTCTGTTCACAAGCACTCTCTGGGCCCAGCCATCCAGCCAGTTCTTCACCCAGCAAAGAACACCTGCTCAAGCCACGGGCTGCAGTTTCTCCAGGAGAATGCTGTGATAGACATGGTTAAAGGCTTTACTAATGTCTGGGTAGACTGAATCCACAGCTCTTCCCACACCCACTAGGTGGGTCAGCCAGTCATAGAAGGAGATCAGGTTAGTCAGACAGGACCTGCCTCTCCTGAGCCCATGCTGCCTGGGCTGATCCCCTGGTTGACCTGCACATGCTGCATGAGCACACTCAAGGTGATCTGCACCACAGCCTTCTCTGACACCGAGGTCACGCTGACAGTCTGCTGTTCCCTGGATCGTCCTTCCAACTCTTCTTGTAACTGGGTGTCACGCTGGCAATCCTCCATTCATCTGGGACTGCTGACAAATGATGGGAAGTGGCTTAGCAATCACTAAGCAATCACTTAGCAGTCACTGATTCAACAATGGTCACAGCCCAACCTTTGTCCCTAAAATGTGAAATGTGCACTGAAGGCAACCTGCAAAGCACCTGCTCACACCCAGGGTGATGCTGCCTGGAGCCACACTGCTGGCACCAGCCCTGCTGGGAAGGTTTTGGAGACCCCTGCTTGCCAGTGGTTTTATTTAGCTATCTCTCAGGTTGCCAAGAATTTCCCATGGTATGTGAGCAGCAGGAGGGAGACTGTTTTTACAAAGTTTCAAACTCCCTTAAACATGAATGGAATTTCCATGGAGAATGATGGTGCAGATCTAGTACAAACACCTTCTTCCCGAGGACTTTGAAAAGTCTGGAGCAAATAACACAGACATGAAAACATCTCAGAAATGACTGCCAGACTCTTCCATGGGAACAGTCAATCAAACTGGTCATCCCTGTCCAGTAAAAAATATCACAGAAGGCTTTCCTTACAAAACCTCTCTCCTCCCTTCTTCCCTATCAGTCAAATTTGGTGGCAGCTCGACAAGTCTCTTTATTAACACATTAGCACTGTGGGTTCTATTGTTTTCTTCTCTCTGCATGTGGGAATTCTGGTCTTGGACCTTGAGCCAAGGCTAGAAAGAAGCTCCAATGTCATGCAACTGTGTCCCCAAGAGCACTCTCTCTCCTCAGTACCACAGACCTCTGGCAAGAATGGGTCCAAATAAGAAAAGTGAGTCCCAGAGAAAATCTACAGACTAAAAAACCCCAACGGCTGCACATAACCAACAGCTTTTCCTCAAGGGAGTCTTCCAAGCACCTTCCACCTGGAAAATCTAAACACCAGCATCTCCTCTTTAAGCAGCAAACAAAGAACTGGCCTCAGCCATGGCCCTGCTCACCCCATAGCTTCCTTCCTCCCAGAGCAGCCTGCCCAGCCTGCTCCTCCTGCAGCCCTCCAGCCCCTTGCATAACCCACCACCATCCAACAGACCAAGCACAGCTCACAAACCCAGCACAGCAGAGCGGGGGATGGTGCTTCCCAAGAGCTCTCCCTGCCCATGGGGTTTTGCAATGCAGCACAGCACAGCTGACTGCCACCACAGCTGGGTGGGACCCAACCACACGCTGCGCTCTGCAGACTGGAGATGCGTCCCCACTGCACCCAAATTCCTCAGGTGTCCACTGTGGCTGGAACAGCTGCCTTCAAAAAAGCCATCATGGGGAAAACCTGAACATCTTTCAAAAACCTGCAGTTTGAGCTATGTGCCAAGGATCTGCTGCTGGGCAGGCGGGATCCTCTTCAGTATCAGTTTTGGATGGATGCAGTCTATGCCCCAAAGACCCATGGAGAAACACATGAGAGAGAACAAGATCCTGCCTTATCTGTTAAATACACATTTTGGAAAAAGACAGCAAACCTCACTTGCAGAGCCTAAGAATCTAGAAGTTCCCAATGAGATCAAAATAGCAAAGGAAGGCTTGAACAATACAGATGTCTGTAATAGAAAGGGTGTAAACAGCCAAATTGAGTTGCAGAGAAATGGCACTGAAGCAGCAGGAAAAACAAAAATAGCAGGAAAGGAAAGATAAATAAAAAATTCCTAAAATATATGAGGAGCAAATGGAACAAGGAAACAAGAGGGCCATTGAGTCAAAGAAGAACCATGCAGAAGCAAGCAGGCAAGGCCAGGGACTGAATCCAGCCCCAGAGGAGAGGTCATAGGGAGGAAAGAAGACAGCTGAATTATTTCAAGGAGGAAAAGGGGAAGGTGACTTCATCAGGAAACCATCTGCAGTTAGGACCAGCAGCGCTGGCTGAGCAGTTCCACGTTAAAGCTGTAAGACAGGCGACACACACAGCGGCTCTTCCACAAAGGTGGGCAATGGCACCACTCACCATTTCCCTGCTTGCTCTTGCCTCCAGCTGTTGTAGCTATGTGAGACTATTTTGGGAGAGAAATGAGTGTGGTTGCTTACAACGGGCCCAGTATCTCCTGCACTGGGGATAGCAGGGGTTGTACTGCCCCAAGGAAAGATGGAAGGCAGCCCCTGTCCTCACTGCTGCACCTCTGCAGCTACCAAGGCTGCTGCTCTGACCCTGCTCAGAGAGCAGCTTCTTGCTGCTGCCCCCTCCCAGGGATTTTTCACACCCATGACTTCCCATTCCCTCCAGTTCCCTGAGATGCAGCCAGCGGCCACAACAGAAGAGGCAGATGTTGGTCACAGATGCCCTGCTATGGCTCAAATGGTGCGGGGTCTATTCACACAGCAGGGGCACAAACCCTCACTTTTTCCCCTCTGTCTTGCCCTCTGTTTCTCAGCCAAAAGCATTCCCTTGCCAGGCAAGAAGAGAAAAAGTTGACTTACAGAAAAAAAACAAAACATGCAAAGCCCAGACAGAAAGGACGCTTATAATGCCCAAACAAACATGCCCAGGATATACGCAGCTCCATGCCAAAATCCAAAGCAAGTGAGCACGAGACGAGCTTGGAAAGGCTCAGGTAAGAGAAACACCAGCGGGCAGCACGGCAGCTACTGAGTGAGAGACAACAGAGCGGACAGCAAAGCCTGGGAAGCTGCCCGCAGTCCGTGCGCGGAGCTGCAGAGCCGTGCCGCCGGGCGGCCCACGAGCACAGCCCTTCCCGCGGGCAGCTGCCGGCCGCGTGGCCGCCGGGCTGCACGGCTGTGCTCCAGGCAGCCCCACCCCTCCTGCCTCCACCGCCCGCGGGCCGGCCCTGAGGAACAGGACGCGGTTTAATCAAGGCGGCACGACTGCGCTCGTTAATTATTTCGGCTCTTTACTATTAGCTAACTCGTTTCTTCACCCAGCCGGGCTCAGCTTGGTGCCTCCGTGCCCACGGACGCTCCCACTTACCTTCCAACGAAACCCAGCTCTCACCAGCGGGACCGCGGGGCTCCGTCCGCCCCAGCAGGGCCGGCGCCAAGCCCGCTCAGCCGGCGCCTTAACCGCCCTACGAAGCCCCCCAGCACGGAGCAGGGACGAGCTCCGGCACCCCGCACGGCCGGAAGGTTTTTCCTCTCACACCGCCTGTCCTCTCCTGCCCGCTCCCCCCCCCGCGCCCCGCGCGTTGCTCCGCGCTCCCGACGCCGCCAGATCCCCGCTCCACCACCGCCTTTCCTCAGCGAAACCGTGGGGTTCAGGTCCAAAAACCCTACAGCAAAGCCTGGACCCGAGCCGCCCGGGGGCTGCGTGACGGGCGGGGGGCCGAGGCGGTGCGGCGGGGCCCGTCCGCTCAGCGCTCCCCGAAGGCGCGCGGCGCGGCGCCCCCGCTCGCCTGCCCTCCCGCCCGCCGCCATGTCCGCGGCGCGGGGCGCCCCCTGCCGGCCGAACCCGGCGCCGCAGCTGCGGGAGGGGCCCGCGGGGCCCTCGGCCTCCGCCCCGGCTCCCGCGAGGCAGAACGCCCGCGGTGCTCGCGCACGGCAGGCCCCGCTCCCCCCTTCCGCACACACGGCGCCGTGAGTACTTACTGCCTTGTGAGGCTCCTTCACCTGAGGCAGCTTCAGTGTCTGCAAAGAGAAAGAGCTGCACTTAGATCTGACAGCGGACTCTGCCCCGCGTCCGACGCCTGCATCGCCGCGCTGCGCAGGGCTGCGCGAGGGATCCCCGCGCCCAGCAATGCGCTGCGGGCTCCGACCGGCCGCCTCCGCGCCCAGCCGGGCAGCGGCACCATCACAGCCCGCGTGGGTCCCGCCGCACCCCGCGCTCCGCTCCCAGGCGCGGCAGGGCCGGACAGCGCGGGTTCGGGGACCGACGCGTCTCACGGAGCTGCGTGCCTCTGTCATTGCTGCTGAAGGAAATCCTCGTGCATTTCTGGGCTGCTGGCTGGCGATCCTGCACGCAGCAGGGGGTTGGAACCGGATGGTCATCGTGGTCCTTTTCAACCCAGGCCATTCTATGATTCTATGAAAGCAAGCCGTCAGCGCCGTGCCCAGCCCAGCTCCCATAGGGGACACACAGCCCAGCATGCTGCCACCTCGCCAGGGGCTGTGCCCCCTCCTGCAACAGCAGCGCAGCCCATGCCAGGGATGGGCCACAGCCACAGGAAGCTCCCTGGGGCCGTTCCATCCCGGCTTGCTATGAAAACGCTCCCTCTGCTCTAACACAGCGCCAGCAGCACGTAGCAAAGGTTCATTCAAGCCCTGAATGAACACAACGGGCAAAGCTGCAAGCTGAGAAACAAAACCCAGTGTTACAAGTCAAGGGTTGTAAATGACAAGGACTTCCAAGCCATTCTGAAGCGTTTCATATTCATCCTAAGCTGCAGATACTGCATGCTATCTAATAACAGAACCACGTTTCCAAATATTCCGTGTGTCTCTTGGAATCACGCTCACACTGCTCTGAAAGCCAAAGCTGCAGAACGGCACAGCATTTTTAAATTTTAAATTTGCAACCTTAAGTAATGAACAGCTTGCATTTAATTTCCTTCTTGTTTCTTGCAGAAAAATAAATGCCTGCACGTTTGTGGATTTGTACATTTCTTCCTGGTTAACCTGCCTGATCACTTTTCTAGTCAGTGAGACTAAACAGTATGCAATTAATTTGGTACAACTTAATAAATAGTGGGGTCAGATTAAAAAGCCTCACAAGTCCAACCCCTGCATTTTTCCACAGCTGTTGCCTGAATTGCCCCCCATCACTTCAGGGAACAGACAGCTGTGGCACAATGGAGTTCTGCAAAATACTGTCCCCGTGCTCACAGGCAACGACATGAATGCACCACAAAAGATACATGCTATGCGTGCACCAGGCCATTTCTATCATTTAAATAGCTTTTAAAAATAGTTAAACTTAACAAGCGACATATCAAGCAACACGCAAAGGTTTAAGGAGCAGCCCTGTCTGCCCTGTGTTAAGAAATGCTGTTACTCTTAGTCATAAGATGAAGTCTTCATGAATAAAATAAAATAAAGAAAAAACCTTAAAAATCCCCTACCAGCCCATTTTAAATCACCTTTGGGCTCAGACCAAGTAATTACAGCTTTAAACAAAAGAGCAAATTCTGAGAAAGCTGAAATATTGTGAGATCAGCAGGAAAGCTGGAAAGCAAGAATGTTAACTCCTGTGTCACAAGAAACTTTCTGTATCTCGTATTAAAATCTGCTGCAGAGCTGGAAACACGCAGCTAAAAGCAGGGATGCCTGGGCACAGAGGGCAAACATCTCCCCAGACATGGCATGGCTTTTCAGCAGCAGGTAGCCATGCAGGTGAAACCCAGGTTTCTTCAGAACAAAAACACCATCTCTACTCAAGATCAGTCATTTCTTCATTAATTTTCTACTCTCATCTCACGGAACTGCTCCAACTCAGACTCCACAAACAGGCACATAGGAAGAACACTCTTCCACACTCACAGCGGAGTGAGACGTCTTCCCCGTCATATTCTGGGAACTGAGCAGAAACCCTTCCCATAAAATATCAGTGCGAGACTCCGGAAGCTCTGAGAAGTTCTCAGACCATTGGAATGAACATCATCTGAAGACACCAACCGTACTGCAGTGCACACAGCATCTCCTGGCCAGCCCCTCCTCAGGGCAATGCAGCCAGATTACATCACTGAATCATGAGGAGAAACAACCCAAGCAAAATTATCATTCAGCCCAGAAATGCTCATCTGGAAATGGAGAGCTTCCACCCGAGTGGAGGCAATGCATCCTGCAAGGGTTAACCTCCAGCCTCGCTATTTTCTTTCATTTGCTTTCTGAAGAATTCTCTGCTGGGTGAAAATTTCACTTGTTTGGCCTCAGCCCAGACGCTCTTAAATTTACTTTTTTTTTTTTTTTTTAGGCCTAATAAAGTAATCTCAGCCATTTTTGAGTCACCTAGAAGTGAAATAACCTTCCTGACTCAAAACATGGCAATGTTTCGCTGCTCGGAATGCTCCAACCTGACCAAACTGTACAAAACGAAACTTTCGAGCTGCGTAACTCCTGAAGAGACTCCAAACCTCCTAGTGACTTGAAAAGCCCCACGCAGCTCAACAGAAAGCACTGGACATGTCTGAGGCCCGGCCTTCCCGTGGGCGAAGCCGCAGTGTTTGCCCTGGATGGTGCCGACCAGCACAGGCAGAATCTGCAGCTCCAGCTCTGCAGCAGGAGAGGAGCAGAGCAGCTCACAAAAGAGCCATTCAGCTCAGCAACGTAACTTGTTGGGTTTGTTTTTCAGTTGTGCATTTGGAGAGGCACGGGGTAAGGAACACAGCCTTTTCATTTCTTTCTCGATAGCCCAATTGTGAGGATGTTTCTTACCTACACTTCTGACTATGCAGAAAGCTTTACGTTGGGTTCCAACACCTGGGTTTTGAGGGCAAAGCAGAGTGGGAGCTCACCCCAGCAAGCCAGCGCTTCCCCAGCAAGAGATCTCCCCACCCTGGGCACTGCAAGGTGCCAGAGGAATAACTGCTGCCTGGGTTTCTCCAGCCATGCTGAGCACCACGGGAATGCTCAACAAACCAAGAGAATGCCACTTATCCAATAGGAAACCACCCATTCCTGAAGACCGACAACAAAAACCAAATCAGCCTGTAGAAAGGAAGTCACCTCCAGCACAGCTCTCTGCCATGGAGACTCAGAGGTGCACATACAAAAAAATCCAGACAATTTCTCTTGAAAATGATTGCTATAATGAAGAACATAATTTCTGCTCCTTAGGGTTGTCACCAGAGTGAGGATCTGAATGTGGAACTGAGCAGCTCAAAGGAGGCATGAAATCTGGGTCTTGCAAGGAGCTGACGAGTAAGGGCAAGAAGGGAAGGGGCAAAAGACCTCACGCCTGCAGCAGCCACAAACCCCCAGCTCCCCTGCTACAGCTCCTACCTGGACAGCAGGCAGTGCCCAGCTGAGCTCAGAAATAACCTGGTGCAAAGCAGGGACAATGTGGGACCTTCACGTTTCCCATCCTGGGGACAGAACTTGTGCCACTGACTGAGGACTGGCTATAGGAATGCTTTTTCATTTGTTCAGCCCCAAAGTAATTGTACTGATCAGGTTTGGACCTCTCTGCTCTCCCATAACAAGAAGCAGGCACTGATCACCATCTCCGCCCATCTGCAGGAGCAACCCACAGCTCCCCAAGTCCTGCCAGTGACATAGGAACAGCACAGGAAAGCAAAAAGCAGCAGAGCTTTTCAAGGGGTAACAGATATCCTTCAATAAATAACCCAAAGGAGGTACTTCTGCTAGAGGAACCAAAAAACCCTGGAAGAAAGCAGCTGAGGAGAGGAAAAGTAACTCTAGCTACTCTGACATGGGGCTGGTGCAGTGATGCTCACAGCACATATCACACAAAGAGGGAATGCCAGGTCCTGCTCTTGGTCCTTCCTTGCCCAGCCAAGAAGAAATGATGGAAGGAACCTTCTGGCAGCTGTTAACAGCAAGTAAGAGGCCAACAGAGCTCAACTTGCAGTGCTGGGGGACAGCAGACCCAGAAGAGCTGCCCTGCCAGTGCTTCAGGGCTTCATCCAAGACCTGGACTGCAGATACACAGGGAGAACATGCAGAGTGAAGTACAACACCGTCAGTGTATGATCAACCAGGTTATCTCATGTTTGTTATGGTGGTCAATACAAGCCATATAAAACCTTAGATATGCATCTTTCACCAAAGTCCTGCAGTCTTACGCTATTTCCAGCAATGCTGCTGGTACAGCTCAGTGTCTGACTCTCACTGGATAACAGGACACAGGGCCTTGCTTTATGGAAGCCTCTTTTTTTCCAGAACACATTATGTGCACATTCAGTGGCCTGTTGTTTCTCTGCATTCAGGTACACTTCTGCAGTGCTTTACCAGCCAGCTCGGGCTCTGCTTCTGGGAGAATCACATTTGCAGAGTTGCATCAAGCTTTCATTTGATTTCTTGTTGACTGGTGCACGAGAATAAATATCTCATTTTGATTTTCATTGTTTTAGGGCAATTTAAATGCACTTTAAATGTTACTACTGCATGCATCAATTTACAGCAGCATAAAACAACACTTTATAAGTTTCAGAAATACAACTTGTGCTTCTCCATTGCTGACATGAAAATTACAAATGAATTTCCACATAGAAAATTTTGAAAATTTCCATCTTCTATAGCTACACATTAAAAAGACTTTGAAAGCAAAAGGCAAAATGATGTCTTCACTGAGTTCATGAGAAATCTATGGATATCAATTTGATGAGTGCATGTTGATGCACCCAGACCATATGATGCATAGCCTAATTTCACAATCAATATAAATAAACATATAAAACCAAATAAATTGAACCACACAACAGAAGGTGACCTCATAGCAATACAGCTCCTACAAATTCCTGTTGAAGAAAGGACCCCAAGGTACTTGGTGGAAAGAAGTGAAATAAAAGCAACTCTAAATATTGCAATTGTTATTGCTAAATTACTGCGGTGCTGTGGAACAACAGTAAAGTCCTCTGTGTGAATATATCATCGAGTAACAGACTCACAGCACAGTTGGGCTGAAGGGCCCTCACAGCCCCCAGCCCCCCCCTGCCATGGGCTGGCTGCCCCCCAGCTCAGGCTGCCCAGGGCCCATCCATGGCCTGGGGCACCTCCAGGGATGGGCAGCCTCAGCTCTGGGCAGCAGTGCTGGGCCTCACTGCTCTCTGAAGAAAGAATTTCCTCCCAACATCTAATCTAAATGTATCCTCTTCAGTATGAAACTGCCGCCCTTTGTCCTACCACTTCAAGCCCTGGCAGAGTCCCTCCCATCCTTCCTGTAGCCCCATGTAAGTACTGGAAGGCTGCAACGAGGTGAGATTCTCTTCTCTAGTCTGAATCAGCCCTCAGCCTGTCTCCACAGAGTGCTCCAGACCTCTCAGCATCTTCACAGACTCTTCTGTTTCAGCATGTCCACATCCTTCTCGTGCTGGGGCTGCAGAGCTGAATGCAGCACTGCATGTGAGATCACAGGAGAGCAGAGGGGACCCTCTCCTCCCTCGCCCTGCTGGCTGTGCTGCTTTTGATGCCATCCAGCACACAGCTGGCTTTCTTAGCTGCAAGCACACACTGCTGGCTCACACTCAGCTTTTCATTCATCAGAAACCTCAAGCCCTTCTCTGCAGGGCGGCTGTGCAACCCAGCCACTGCCCAGTCTGTGCTGATGGCTGCAGGACCTTGCACCTGACCTTGCTGAACTTCACGTGGTTTGCACCGGCCTCCTCTCCCACCTGTCCAGATCTCTCTGGCAACCCAATTCCTCATCCTTCAAGTAGTCCATCCACCAAATCCACATCGCTCCAGTTTAGATGTGTGTGTGGGACCATATCAAAGGCTTTGGATGAGTCCAAGTAGATGATGCCAGTTACACTTTCCTTGTCCACCAATGCTGCCACCACCTCTGTCAGGCAAAATTACACGCCCTTAGTGAGTCTATGTTAGATGTCTCCATTAACCTCCCTGTTTTCCACGTGCATTAATATGCTCTCCAGGAGGATCTGCTCCACAGGGCACAGAGGTGAGGCTGACCAGCCTGTATTCCCCTTGTCCTCCTCTTTCCCTTTAAAAATGGGGGTTCTGGTTCTCCTTTTCCATTCACTGGGGGCTTCACCTGACTGCCATGACTTTGGAGGCGGTGGAGAGTGCCACAGCAACTTCATCCAGCAGTTCCCTCCGGACCCTGGGATGCATCCCATTGGGTCACACAGACTTCTGCACATTCAGGTTCCTTACATGGTATCAAACCTGATCTTCTCCCACAATATATGTGGGACAGCTGCTGCTCGCTATTATTTTATGGAATTTTTTCTTCAACTGCTGAGCTCCTTTGCAGCAGTATTTAAAGGACTTCTAGGAGTTTTCTTGGTATTTAGAAAGAAAAACCGGTGTTAAAAAACAATTCTGCATGTATCTAAGGATACAGAAGAAGCTCTATGATGTTGAACAGCACCCAAGGACTACGCAACCAAGCAATTAAAGGATGCATTATGTGATGGAACACTGACAAGTCATGCATGCAAGTTCACTTTTCAGCTGCGCAGTTGCTGACTTCTGAGAGTTTAAACACATCAAATGTAGTACTTAGCATTCATTATTCCTGGGTTTTCAGTTTTCACTGGGAGATCCCCTTGCACTCCTTCAGACATTCCAGTCAATCGTTTAACAGAAGACCAAATGCACTGATATTGCTAGTGACAACTGAGGGGTTAACACAGATGCTCCTACAAATCTGACACACACACACTGCTCAACTCAGGTGAAAGAAAATACAAACACTGAAGAGCTCCTGATGTGGCTGCAAGTTGCTATGGTTCTGATACCTCAGATACACACTAATTGTACAGTCAAGCAAGACTTCCCCTCCTCTGCAATTAAGTAACTTGAGATTGGACAGGCTTACAGAGAATTAAAATAAAATAAAAATCACTTCTGACTGAGCATAAGACATTTCATGCAAACAACACATTTGGAAAATGACCTCAGCAAGAGCATGGGGGTGATTTCAAGCATCATTTTGATGTGTACAAGAAAACACAGGGGCATCACCACTGCCTATACAAAGCGAGATACCCAACTTAGCAACCTGTGCATCCTGTGCAACCTGTGCATCCAGAGATAGTCACTGATATCAGCACCTCATATGTTTTACCACGTGTAATCCTCTTTTATAAATAACAGCAACCTTCTGAGTCTATACGAACATCCTGAAGTCCTGAGGTTTGCCTCGGACTGTCACTGTCCTCCACTCACGCATTGCAGGGATGGACCAGAGCACCTCATGCAAATGCCCACCCCTGAGGCTGGCATGAGACTTTGTCTGCTGGGAGAGCCTTGTGATCTGCAGCTCTGCCAGCACACAGCACTGCCCCACAGAGCCCCATGCAGTAAATACCGTGGTTACCCCAGTGCTCCCAGCACAGCAGCCGATCACGATTTCACTGCTGGAGCGTAAAGCTGCAGAGTTCAGCCAGTCACCAAGCTTAGCCTATGCACAGGCCACCCAACAGAGAAGCAAAGAGCAATCCTCAAGGCCTACTCAAAAATACTCCCTGAGCCTAAGTGTTACCCCAGGATTCCCAAATATTTGAGCAGGAGAGAGATACCTCTATGCGCTCGCACATGGGTCTGGAAACAGTTGTAATACTTGTATTTCTTCCCACATATTCCACACTCATAAGACCCTGAAAAACAAGACAGAAAGGTATACATCACCACATTAGATCAGGAAAAACAGCCTCACAATTTACTTATCCAAAACCAGGGACAAAAGAATGCAGTTTGCAGCGAAGTAATTTTTGGAAGGTTCATGGAGATAAGTGCAGGAAATCACTATCCCAGACTCGATTCTTTTTTCAGCCTTATTTAAGATTCCATGGCATATTACCCTGAACTTACATTTTCAGTGTAACTTTATAAATTTGCTAACATGAAAGGACCTCTCTCAAAATAGCACGACTTATAATTTTATAATAATGACTAATATTTCCTATGGACAGAAATAACCTTGAATTACTTTTCAGTAAGTTCCTAGTATATGGGAAAAAAAGCTTCCCGACTGAAAAAAGAAAGCAGTGTGTTATCTTCAGGCAAGTAGTTTTCAAAATTTCTCAAGAAATGTACAATGCACAAATTTCTCAGGAAACCCATAGAGATTTGGTAAATATCCACCCAGAGGAAACCAAATAGATACAAATAGAACTTTTGACCTTTTTAAGGAAAATCACATGACCACAACAGTCTCTCTTCTCAATTTGTGTATCTAATTCCAGAAAACACACATCTGCAAATAGTCATTGGAAATGAAACCAGAGGAACAGAGCTGGGAGAATCATTTGTAATGATGAAATCATGCATGAATTCAGCCTCTTCTGTTTATTGGACAGGCAGACACAAATTTCCTCAGATTTATCATTTGAGACAATTCAACCTTTCTTGGCAAACAGGCTATAAATCAGCCTTTCAAGCTCTCACTTGCAAAATGCGTTGCATTTGTCAGCTGCCCATCAGTGGGAGAGAAATGATCCTGTATGTCCTCACCCACAGAGCAGGGGCAGCACCTACTGCAAGAGGAGGTGGGAAAAAGGAGGGCTGAGTTACTGCTCAGTACGGGCAGAGCTTCCTTTCCATGGACACTTATGCAACCTCAGAACAGCCTTTTCCTGACCATGGGAAACAGCAAAACTCAGAGACGAGCCACAAATGAGAACACAACATCCAAACAAACACTCCCAAGCATCATCCCACAGCAATACTTACCAGTGCCACTCAAGACAAAGGAACAAACTCAAGAGTGTTTTTCGAACACACTACACTTCCTTTTTTTCCCATGTTCCATTGCTTACAGCTTGGGAAGAAAACAACCCTCCTTCCATCTCAGAGCTGCACAGAATTCCCTGTCCAGCATGCTAGCATCACTTCAGCTGTCCTTTGAGCTTGAGAGGATACTTTGGCAGTGATGCTGAAGCAGGCAACTGGCTACAGCCCGATACACAGGAGTACACACCTGACAAAATAAAACATCTACAACACCCATGCTGCATCCAGCTCACTATGCCTCCACTGCTCCACGGCCTCGTAGTTACCACAGCCAGCTGCATTTCATGCATACAGACACACCTGGATGGGACAGTCATCAATAGTGGTCACTCTGCAAGGGTTTTCCTGAGTGAAACCCAGGATATCAGCAAGTCAACAGCATCTGCCAGACCTCTCCTCCCTGCTTGAGGACTGATGATGTTAATCACCAACCTTCACAGTTCTCTTCTGCAAACTCTTCCAGCTGGAGCCCCAGAGTAAGCACAGCCAAAAGATGAGCACACTCCTTTCACTTAGGCCCTACCAATCTGTAACTCTGCACAATAGCTGAGGTTCAGCTGTACCAACAGCAAAATGAGACTGACACCCACCTGCACCCCTAAAGCAGCACTGTGCACACACAGAGCACTGGAAAAAAAAAAGAAGATAAAAAGCAGCGAGGGACTCTACGCTGACTTTTTTTCCCTGTGCTTCTTGTATTCCTCCCTTCCTCTGCAGATGGCCTACAGAACATACATGCATTTGCTCGTGCAGAAGTTCTTCATGAAAATATAACCCCATACAAGTGACCTCAGTGCTCTCCCTCCGTGACACAAACCAAAATGCATAAGGGACTCTGCCTGGGAAGTAAGGACAGGAGGTGGCCCAGTATGTCCCACAGCCACATATCATCCCCCAAAACTACCCAGGTCTCATGTGCAGTGTGGGGGAAGCTGCAGTCAGCTCCTCTAGAGGACCTCTCCCCACCTCCTGCATGCAGATGGCAGAGCAGGATGACCCACGTGGGGACAGGGAGACAATCCAGCAGCCCACCCGGGTGGGGGCAGAGGCACAGGTCCCAGTATGAGAGAAAGGAGGGACGATTTGCCACAATACCACGTTAGAGTGAAGGGAAGGTAAAGCAAAGGAAAAGGCATCACTTGGTAAGGTCTTACAGAGAACATGCCTGCGTTGCCTTTGACACTGCCTCTGCAGTCACAGTTTGTCGTGGACTCTGCCAGCTTTGGGATGTGTCATGCAGGTTAAAGCTGTTTGCAGCAGGAGTGGAGATGGGGAAAGATTTGGGTTGGTTGGTGCATTCAGCTTGGCCAGGCTTCTACTGAGCCTTGCAGCTGGAACTTGGGCACGCACCCGGTGCGTTCAGAGCCTTCTCTTGGTCCCTGATTAGACTTTCACACCCTTCCATCACATACCGGAGGTGTATCTCAATGCATGGTCAAAAATCCAGGTCCCTGAATATCGATTTCGTGTATATCCAACGGGAGAGCCACGTTCCACTGCTTTTCCATCTAAATTGTGCAAAAAAAAAAAATCAGAAAGGAGCCCTTGAAGTGCATGCACTTCCAAAGGATAATGATGGCCGATGACTATCAAAAATTTCTGAGACCCATCTGTCCCTGTGGCTTAGTAACAAACTGTCAGAGGCTGCACAGAGCTAAGGTTTTTGCAGCACTATTTTGTGGGGTTTAACCAGGGAGAATCCAAAGTGCTCAGGAATTACATGCCCTGAGCAGCTCAACAAGTGAGAGATCAGTGTCACGGCACAAACCAAGCGAATGTATGTTAGACTGACACTCCCAAAGCAGAAGGACTGAGTCTTTACTTCGTCTCAGAAATGTTTCTGATTTTATGTATTACTTGAAAAATCCTCTCCAAAATACTTCTTGTAAAACAGGGACCATGCTGACAGTTTCAACAGCCTTGTATAGAGCTTCTCCTCATCATCTCACAGGTAACTCCAAACAGCCCTGCAAAGCACCAATGCTGAGGTACCCCAACGTTACACAGTGACCCAAAACCAGGCCAGCAGCCCACCCCCTTCTCTTGATTTAAAACGCCAATACTGTTTAATTTTCCTCTCCAATTTAGATGGCTCTGAGGTGAACTTATCAGCCTCCCTGCCCTCCCAGCCCTGCCCTGCCAAATGCTGATGTGCTGGAGATATTTGAATGGCCCTGGCTGAGGCCAGCACGTGGAGCTAGGAAGAGCATGACAGGAAGGGAGGAGCAGGGCTGCTGACTGGGCTGGGAGCAGAAATGTGGAGGCACAGGGCCACGGCCTGGCATGGGAGCAGAGGGCCCAGCTGGCTTCCTTTGCTTGCGGTGCCCCAAGGGGGAACTCATGGGGCTTGTGAGATTTCTGTGAAAAAGCAGATAAAAAGCAAGCGATCCAAAAGCACAGACATCAGCACTGCGCCTTCAGCCAGGCTGTGAACCTCTTGTGCAGCCACTGTGAACCTTGGAATGGAGACTGGAGCAGTGCAGAGCTCAGGGAAAGACGTGGGACCCTGCAGCCAGGCAGGAGATGGATGCATGAGGCCTAAGTTGATCAGAACACTGCAAGAGAGCAGCAGCAGCTGAGCTGGGAATCTCCATTAGAAACTTCTGGAAGGAGCAGACAAAACCATGAAGACAGTAGAGGCCTGCAGGAGATGTGCAGCTCAAAACCAAGGCACAAACCCTGCAACGCACGACGCAGTGCAGCCCCAGCACTGAGCCCCCAGGGAAGCTGCTGTCACCCAGAGCCACATGTGCTCAGCCGCCTGTCCTCACAGCACCAGGAGGACACGGCCTGGGGGGCACTTCCAGGGGATGGAGGGGCTGTGTTTACCTCTGACTCTGCTTCATCCTATGCCATGAATTTCTATCAGAAATAACCATTTTCGACACCTCAACTCTCAGTTTCCCCGATGAAAGGGTGGACAGTCCTACCAAAGTGCTGCCCATCTGCACGGCTGAAGTAACTTCGATCCAGGACTACCAGATCACATCACAACAAGCTGCAGGAGAATATCTCCTGGAAGGATCAGTGAGTGTGCAGAGCCTTTGCTTGGTAGTGGGGAACCCCAGCATCCTCAGCTCTCTGTGATCTTGGGCTGCCTGGGAGCGGAAGCCAAAATCACCAGCAAAGCAGCAGGCATGGGACATTTCTCCTGCGAGCACCACAGATGTCTGTGGCCATGGAAATAGTGTCTGTCTGCGGTTCCTTTGAGGGATGGAGAAGACCAAAAGAATTGACTGGGAGTCAGCTCCAAGAAACCACAAGGAACTGATATCTGGGCACCAGGGTCGGTCAACGCAGAGCACAAGTATTTGGTGGCCAAACAGAAAAGTTATTCAGAGTCACCTCCCCAGCAGACGAGAATTATGTGAAGGGCTGGATGAATGGGGGCACTTAGGAGGCTCTTTGCACAAAGGCTGCTGACTGCCAATGGCCTCAGGACCAAGTTGCCTTTAAAGAAGCCCAGCATGAGGCTATAAAATAACAAATACGATGCACACTTCATTTCAAGAAGCACTTCCAAGGAGTAGTTTTCCAGTCTACTTTCTGGGGCTTGCTAACCAGTAAATAACCCCCCATCCCTCTCCCCATGGGGAGGGAAATGATGTCCCCTTGCCCTAACCCACCCCCATCACCATCAGTCGGGGTGTGTTGGTGTGCATCCAGACTAGCCAACAGCAAAATCCCACTCCCTGCTTTGTACAACCTCAGCTGAAAACCACATCCTCTGAGGACACCACCTGCAGAGCCCAGCCAGCAGCGTGGGGACGAGGTGTGACAGACACCCAGCTCCATGCAGCTGGGAGAGAAGTTCCTGCTGCCTCTGCTCAGTGGCCTGGGGAGCTGGGAACACTCCTGTGCTGCAGGGTTGCCCATCAGGCTTCAACTTCTCAAGAGCTGTGAGGGCACAAAAAGATCTGAAAGTACACAGAGTATTCCCTCCACGTTAGAAGACTTCTAAGTTGGAGCCAGTTACAGGCTTCTTAGGCCTTCCTTAAAGGTTGAATCTGCATAACCAGCAGTGACCTCCTGCTCTTCCATTCTAAACAGCTGTCTTACTGGCAAAGGGAAGGCAAGGATTCTCACAAGACAATCCCCAGCTAATGACACCCTCCGGGGTTTCTTTCCAACAGTGAGAACAGTGATCAAGCAAAAACCAGGAAAAAATCTACCATCAATGCCTGTTTTCCTTCCCTCTGCAAGACAAACCAAACACAACAGCAACACCAGGCAGCTTCCTCTCTTGAAGGAAATCTGGTCCGATCCCTCTCTTCTTTGTATCAGCAACTGCCTCTGCTCTCAGTGGCTGGGACCTGCTCTACACCACAGCCAGAGGAGGAAACCTTTCAGCAGGAGCAGAGCCTCTTCCAGGACTGCACAGACATTCCTGGTGCAGTAGGAGAGGACAGTGTGATGATCACAGGGAGAAGAAAAGGATTCTTCTCATCACAGCCATAGGTGGGGTGAGGACAGGAAGTACTGCTTTACTGTTTTGGAAGTGGTGCACCACAGCCAGCTAACAGCTGAAATCATTCCCACAAGGTTACAAGAGAAGCAAACAAATAAACAGCAAACTGCAGAAACTGTTTTTAATCTAAATCTAATTACTTACAGGAAGCATTTGTTGCCTCAAGGCAACTTTCCTCAAAATATTCCAACTTCCTCTCCTGCTTTTCTCCTCACCTATGACCAACAAACCTGGCAGCAGCCCTGGCTTCACAATGAATTTTATTCAACTGATGGACAAGTGATTTAACACATCAAAAGACACGATAATCCTTCTCACAGTGACCCTTATCATGGCTGAGTCCTTAGTGGTGATCAGATACAAAAAAGAAAGCAATAATTTAAATAAAGTCAACCATCCTGAGCCAGGAACTGCAGTGCCCCTTAACTCCAGCCCATCCAGCAGAACCAAGCCTCCAGGACCAGCTCTCCAGAGCATCTTTCCTGTCCCCACAGCAGGGGCTCAGGGCACTGAGTGATGGGACGCACCGACCCGCAGCTTACCGAGCGTCTGCTGGTTGCGGACCCCTCCGATCACCACGCAGATCTCAGCTGGCACATCTCCTGGCCCATCTTTTATGTTCTTCTTGGAATCTTTGGTGTCATCCTGCCAGATCACCTCTTCGATGTAGTCATCTGGTACCTCTGTTTTCACCTTCACCTCAGTCATCATTCCAGCTTCTTCACTGGGTGAGGACTGAGATGTCACCGAATCGGAGCCCTCTGCTTTTGGGCTCCGTGGGCTCCTCTTCAAACACTCCCTGAATAGGGGGAAAACAGGAGAAAAAATGAGTTCTAATTTTCAAGCACTCACTTCTAACGACTAGAACTTAATCAAAGGTACTTTTGCTTAATGCAATTTCTTTAAAGTAACTGTCTGTCACAAAGGGTAAATAATAAAAATGTAACCAGACAAAAGTAATAAAACCACTTGCCAATACTGAAAATAACCTTAAACAACACAAACAACAGTAGCAGTTGAAAACAGCCTGAATCTCTCTTTACAGAGAGAGCGGTGAGGTGCTGGAACAGCTGCCCAGAGAGGCTGTAGATGCCCTGTCCCCAGAGGAGTTCAAGGTTGGATGGGGCCCTGGGCAGCCTGGTCTGGCATTAAATGTGGAGGTTGGTGGCCCTGCGTGTGGCAGGGGGTTGGAGCTTCACGATCCTTGAGGTCCTTTACAACCTGGGCCATTCTGTGATTCTGTGTGAATCACTGAACAGGAGCACAGAACTGGACCTGGCAGGTCCAGGACCCCAACATGGGCAGTCCCAACTTCCAATGCTGTGCCAAGAGTAGCCCACTCATGCGGAGGAAATGCTGAATGTCCCCAACATTTTTAATTCGGAGCTCACTCTGCCTTCATGCATTCCTCCATGGGGTAACCTAATCTTGCAGACTCTCTTTTAGCCCTTCAGAGCAACCTGACCCTCATCCTATGGTTCTCATATGGCTGTACTTAACATACAGTGATGACTGAAGAGGATACGTATGTATCATGATAACAGCTTCCAAGGAGACTAAGTTATGGGCAGACGCAAGCACCAAAGATGGCAGAGAAGGTGTGATGGGCCAGGAAGGATGGGCGAGGAAAGCAAGGGTCCATTCTTCAAGAGCAAATGAAGGAAACAGTATGCGTTATTATCTTGGAAATAGAAAACCAGAAACTTGTGGGAGAAAAGAATCCTAGAACGGCCTGGGCTGAAAAGGCCCACAGTGCTCATCCAGTTCCAACCCCCTGCTGTGTGCAGGTCACCAACCAGCAGCCCAGGCTGCCCAGAGCCACATCCAGCCTGGCCTTGAATGCCTGCAGGGATGGGGCATCCACAGCCTCCTTGGGCAACCTGTTCCAGTGCCTCACCACCCTCTGGGTGAAAAACTTCCTCCTAGTATCTAACCTAAAGTAAATAAATAAACTCTTCACTCCCCATAAGAGAAGGCAGAAACCAATACACCCCAAAGCTGTGGGATAACATCAGCAGATTCAATTTGCTAAGAAAAGTGCTGTGGTGGCAAAAGACAGATGGATTTTAAGTACAACAGAAACAGACCAGGTGTAGCTCCATTTCCAAATGCATCATCCCACCACTTATTCTGGGCTCCCTGTTTTCAAGCCTGGTTATTAATAAATTCCAACACACAATGCAATAATAAAATAATCGCTGCTTCAGTTGTACAAAATCAGAACTAAATACACAACAGGAGCCTAGACTGTACAAACTGGAGATTTTAAAGAGTCTGTCACATTACTTAGAGTCATTAATAACCAGAACAGCTGACAAGAAAAGTTATAAGCAGAAGCAATAGACAAAACTAAGTGAAAAATAGACTGAACTTCGGGATGAGAGTTATTAGATCATGCAATAATGAAAAAGAAGGAAAACCCCACTGCTTGGAACATCACAGGAAGTCAGAAGAAAGCACAAATTAACAACTCCTGCAATGCTTTTAGATTCTGGTTACGGAGCTGGAAGACAAATCCAAATGCTGCTACTGGAGGAGAAGGTGCTCAGTGGGTAAGGCTGGGAGGCTGAGACGATGAAGGAAGAGAACAATCTTCTGCAATAATTACTGCACAACCTCCTACATGGACATGTAGCTGCTATCTCAAAATGGGTCAATCACATCGTATCACCAGATATTTTATTATTCATCCCCTCATTCTCATTATGGAATGAAATGTGCAATTAATAGCCCCTAAACAGAGCGAATTAGCCTTGACCTGCCTTCGCAATCATTCCCATCCTCCTCACACATGCTTCCCTCCATACTCCCAAAATCATCCAGGCCTTTCACAAGCGAGAAAGATGAATTAAGACAGAGAAAATGTGGTTGAAAATTGGAAGTTCTTTATGGTAATATTATTGGATGTCCAAAAAGGTCCATCAATCTCAGCAGACAGCAATGCAGCCGAGCGCCTGCTCCAAAGATGAGGCAAAGGCAGCAGCCAGGAGCGAGTACAGAGGGTGGGATCAATTGTAAATCAATCACACAGCAAAAGTGTGAAATGCAAAGCACTGATAAAGGCAGCAAAAGCTGTAGGTCCTGGGGAGAACCATCCTCCCCCTGGGGGCAGGGGAGGAAGACCAAAACCAAAGCAATACAGTTCTCACTCCTAAGCAGAAAAGCCGTCTGTAAAAGCTGGCTTTTCACCCCAACTGAAGGCAAAACAGCCCAGTTTGATGGCACAACAACTTGTACAGGCCAGTCCTGCACAGAGCAACACAAAAATCAATGCAGGACCCAGGTGATGTGGAAATAAGAGCCTGAACAGCCAGCACTGAGGTTATGCATACAGCTTTCTGTGCAGAAGATTGACAGGAATAACAGAGATCTTCTGACAACGCCTGGCTTTGCAATATCCAGACATAAATCAGTACATGGCCCAGAGACAGAAACGAGCCAAGTGCAATAAGGCAAAATGCTGTCCTCAACATGCACTGCCCTGAGCAGAGGTACTTCCAGAGGGCTTCCGAAGTGGTTGATTTAGAGCAGATTTATTCATGCTCTGGAGTTAAATCTGACATCACTGCTGCTAAAATATACAGCTGACCCAAGGAGAGGTGGAGTCGGAAAGCAAGATGTGAAAGGGACACCAAAACCAGTGATCCCAGTCACTCAGAACAGCTGCAATGTGGCCCAATGCACACAGGAACGTGGTGCATCAGTCACAGTGCTCATCTCCCACTCACCAGGTCACTGCAGCCACAGGGCCACGCTCTGACCAAAGGAGTAGTGAGATTTTGGGATACGTGTGCATGAGAGCAATGGGATTGCATATGGAGGTCATTTTCTCTCTGTGCAAAGCCACAAAGCCTGCCCCACTGCACTGCTGACAGGCTGAGAGCATCGTTTTTAAAGAGTGATTAGCAAAGCTGGAGAGAATTCTAAAGAGAGGCACTGACATGGTCCAAGAGTGGGAAAAAATTCTTTGTGACTTCATGAGACTGAAGAATTTGAAGCTGTTTTTCATGCCAAAAGGAAGACTGAGAGATTATTTGATTACGGCATATTATTGTCTTCATGGGGAGAAAATGCTGTCTGTCCTTAATTTGGCAGAGAAGAGTGAGAGCTCATCGCTGGAAGTTGGAACCAACTGAAATGAGGCATCAAATATTAGCATGGTGGTGGTCCACCAGAACAACCACTTTCCAAAGGATGTGCTCAGGCTGAACAGATCTCTCAAAGGTTTCAAACCCAGAGCACCCACGCCTGGCCAGTCCCAGTGCTGGGTGCTCCATCCATCCCTGCACTGGGCTGTGTGACTCAGCCTAGTGTGGTGGCATGAAGCTGCAGGATCAGACTGATGGGTTCTCAGAAACTCTGCTCTTCATACGGACTGACTCTCCATATCCACCTCTGCCAAGAAAGTTAACTTCCCAGCAGGGCTGGCTGCTCTAGTTGGGACCTAAATCTGCAAGTATTAATTAAAAGCAATACCATTGCCCTGACATTGCCCCACAAGTTAGAAACCTGAGCAGATACTCAGTGTACAGTGTACCCCAAATGTTTTTTGCAACTGCCATCTGCAGGATTTCATAGCACAGAAACCTGGAAAGGAGTCTGCAGATCCTCTCAAAAACAAAATGAAAACCCACAGCACCACTGGACTTTCACAACTGTGATCCTTTGTGTCTTCTGATGCTTTTCAGAAGAGACAACAGATGTACCCAGGTGTGAGGGAAGCAAGCCTACAGCACCAGAGCTCTCCACCGAGCACCCCAGCATCACCTGGAACCCATCAGGGAAATCTGTGCAGAGCCACATCCCACTCACGTCCAGGGAAAGCACCCAAGGGCTGAGGTGAAAAGGGAATAAATGATCAGCGCTAACTTTAAGAGGTGCCAGTGTTTGACCACTGCTGTTTTGAGAGAGAAGGAAGAGCTTCAACTGCAGACTCGCTCCAGCTGAACGTTCAGAGGAACACCATGGTTTGAAAAATACCTTCACATACATTTGGAATTGGGACAACACAGTCCCAGTCCTCTTTTCTGTAGTACTCCCACAGGTACACATGGACAGCACCTTCATCTCTTCTTACAGCCTCTGAAGGACCGGTGTACAGACTGCAGAGAATTTGTCTGAAGGCTACAAGGTCTTGACTTGAGCAATGGGGTGACTTGCTAGCAATGCCAAAGAACTGCCCCTAACAGCACGGCATGTCCATGGTCCTACTTCATCTAACCACCCTACACCAACGGCACAGAACTGAAATCACTGGTCAGACTCTTAGAAGGTTCACGCAGTGCCTCCATCGGGGCCCACGCAGGTTTGGAGAGAGATGAGGAGGGCAGCAATGGTGGAAGATGGCTCTATTAGCAAACAGAGCATCACCTGTGGAGGACTCTTTCTTCTGATCACACATGAAATCCAGTCAGTGCGTACTCTGGGTCAGGCCAGGCTCCTTGGTTTGAAGCTCAGCTACCAATTTGCTGAAGCAATGCCATTTACAACTGAATATAATCATCTCCAGAGCCCAGAGGGGAGCAGTGCTGAAGGAACAAATGATGTGGGATGGCTGATTTTAAAGCTTCCTGGCACAACTGGGGAAAACCACCGACAGATCACAGCAAGTGCGTAGAGAAAGTGAAATTACAACACTGAAAACCTCAGATAGGATGGAGAGGGGAAAATGCTCTAGGGTCTGTGAGGAGCTCACATGATCCTGTAAGCCACCATTTCTCCACCACCTCTTTGGTCTCAGCATGTTAGATCCTTTGCAAGTCCATGCTGCTGCACTGGCTGTGTGCTATGCTGTTTTTG